GGGTGCAGCAATAGCAAAAAAGTTCTTAACGAACTTTCTGTAGTATGATGCAAGGCCCAAGAATGACCAGACATCACGCACTGTGGTAGGTTGTGGCCAGTCCTGAATTGCAGCAACCTTGGTTGCTTCAGGAGCTAGCCCTTCCCCAGAGATTACATGTCCCAGATAAGTCGCAGAAGTCGCTCCAAAGGAGGACTTTTCCCTGTTGATCTTATATTGGGCCTCATGTAGTACCTAGAGAACTAGAGCCAGATGTTGCGCATGCTCCTCGACAGATCGACTGAATACCAGGATATCATCCAGGTATACAACTACAAACCTGTCCAGGTAAGGCCTGAGTATGCGATGCATCTCTGTCTGGAATGTGCAAGGGTCATTGCAAAGACCGAAAGGCATGACCATGTACTCATAGGTGCCGTATCTGGTCTTGAAGGCTGTCTTGTGGACATCGCCTTCAACCATCTCAATCTGGTGGTAGCCAGATTTGAGGTCGATCTTGCTAAAGATGGTGCAACCCTGCACCATATCTAGCAGATCATCAATCCTAGGAAGGGGCTCTGTAGACTTCCTAGTGATCTTATTGAGACCCCTATAGTCGACGCACATCCTGAATTCTCCATTTCCCTTTGGAACAAAGAGAATTGGAGCCCCAAATTCAGATGTGTTGGGTCTGATCCAACCCTTGTTGGTCAGGGTCTCAAGCTGTCTCCTGAGCTCATCGAGTTCAGCAGGGGACATCTTGTAGATACGGCCCTTGGGAGAGACCGCACCTGGCAGGAGCTTAATCCTGTGTTGGGTCTGCCTATGGACAAGTCCAGTAGGCTCCTGCATCAGGTCTGGAAACTGGTCCAAAACCTGTTGAGTCGGTGGGGGACAAGGAGCAGCATCCACACCAGTCTGTTTCACATATGCGACAAACAGACGTGTGTGGGCAGTCTGGCGAGAGAGCTGGAAAAACTCATGTGCTCTCATACAATAGCAATTGCTGACTGGATGGTACTCATCAGCCAGCACACAAGGCTGATAGTCCCCTCTACAGTCAGGGAGCTCTACCCTGGGGATCTGCCAGTCGATCCTAGGGTTAGTGGCCTCTAGCCACTGCATGGAGAACACAAGATCAAAAGGCACGTTAGGGAAAACATAGAAGTTCAGGCGCTGCCTGACCTTCGCCTGCTTGTCAAAGATAACTGGTAGGTTCTTGACAGCAGAGGTAATCCGGACTGTGGAAGAGTCCCTAATACGAACTTCCAATGGCTGCTGTAACTTCACCAATCTCCCATCTGAGTGCAACTTGCTGACAGCCTTGGGAGAGATGAAGTTGCGCGTAGCCCCACAGTCTAATAAGCCCTTGATCCTGGCTCCCAGGATGGAGGGCCGCAGCAAGATGAGGTCTGATTTATGCTTTTTCTTTTCCTGCAAAGACAGGAAAAGATCAGCAAAAGTCTGACTGTCATCTTTCTGCCACGTCTAATCCAGGTCAGGGTCCACGTAAGTGAAGGATCCTGACTCAGCAACTCCAAAAGAGTCAGTGAGGGTAGATGCATATTCAGACTCGTCAGAATCTGAATCAGCACAACTGGAGGGAGCTGCTAACTCCACTTCCCTTTGCTGGTCTAGTTTTTTTAACTAGAACCAGGTTTGCAAGGCATGTGGGGACAGTCTTTCAAGAAGTGGTCCCCCTCGCAGCGAAAACAAACCTTACGCTCCTTCCTTTTCTGCCATTGCCCTTCCTGGATCCTGAGCGCCCTCCAGGGAAGGGTGGAAGGATCCATGACGTTAACTGGCCAATGGACGTCTCGTGGTAGGTTAGCTCTCTGGGCCTGAGGGGAAGAGGCACGTCCCTTCCCTTTCCCCTTCTGGCTGACTGAGCCCTTGCTGCTATTGTTCCCCATCTTTCCTTTGAACATGGCAGCAAGGTTCTCAGCCAGGGCAAGAACGGTTGGCTCAACTGCTGATGATGCAGTCTCAGATGGAGGACTGCCACACTGAGATGCATTAGAATCAGAACCTGCATCAGCAGCCAATAGAGCACCCTTCTTCCTGCGCCGTCCCCTGGAAGAGGGTCTCCTCCTTCCTTCAGAAGGTTCCTGAACCTTGAGCCGAGACTCCAGGTCCAGGGCCGCTTTGCCAAAGGACCTCCAGTCCTTGTGGCCCTGAGAGTAGAGAGCAATCGAGTAGTCTGGAGGCGCTGCGCGCAGGAAGTGAGTGAGCTGGTCAAACTCACTCATCTCCAAACCAGGTGTAGCAGTCAAGCTCTCAACAGACTGTAGAGCTTGGACAAGGAACCCTCAAATCTGCGTGAGCCCAACAACAGTATCTTATCTGCTGCTTTTCGGGCCTGTTCCCTGTCTGCAAACCGGTCTCGCAGGGCCTGCAGCAAGCCCTCCACCTTCAACTGTTGTGCCCATTTGTCCATAGGCAGATTCTGTTTCGTTGCAGAGGAGGTGCACCACTTGGGTGCAGTCCTCTCCAGACGACCCAGAATGGTCCCTACCTTTGTCACCTCTGGACATACAAAGCTGCCCAGGTATGCCCGGATAGCGGTGACCTAGTCTGATACATCCACCTTGGGGTCTTCCCCAGAATACATTGGAGGTGGTGTCAGCTTGGGCTGCCGCTGATCAGATGTGCCAGAGGGAACAGAGGTAGCAGACACATGGGAACCAGCAGGTGAAGTTGGACGACTGTGGGATGGTGAAACGGATGCTGGGACAGGTTGAAGAGGTTGGGGAGAAGGTACATGAAGTTGCAAATGTTGCATAATCTTGTTGACACTCGCTGTCAGGGAATCAAGGCTTGCTGTCAACTAATCGACCTTGCGGTCGATGGCAGAGCATTGATTCTCTACAGCGAGAATCCGCTGATCCAGTTAGAAAAGTAAGACCTGTTGAGGGTGTATGTTAACAACACCAACTCAGCAGTATCCTTACTATATTTACTGGAGGTACCACTGGTAACAACTTTCTCAACCTCCTTACGTAACTGTCTCCTCCTCTCCTCCTTCCTGCTAGCCTCCTCAACTTCCTTCATCTCCCTCTTCAGCCGCTGGACATGGGCCTCTGCCTTTCTGCGGTTTTCCTCCGCTTCAAGCAGGGCATGTTCCAGGGGGGAGCGAGGGAGTGGGGGAGGGTGAGCAGAAGGTTCTCCTTCCTCAACCTTTGTCTCAGCGTCAGCCATAATAAACCACACACACAGTCAAATAAATATAGACAGATAGATACAAGGTCAGCAGGGATTAAGATTACACACACAACCACTGATGTAATCACTGCCACCTGATGAGAAGAGACGTGGTGAATTAGGCAGAACAGCGCTCAGCCTCAGTAGGCCGCTAAGGGCTATTCTGGGTTAGTTTAGGGTAATTCCAAATAAAACCAGCTTGCGATTTTTCATTCACAGCCCAGAACCCTCATTTGAGTGCAATAACCCCAGAATCGCTGTCAAATAGTTAGACAAGATGCAACCTTGGACTGTAAGTAGGAGGTCAGAATAACGCAGAGAGTCAGTAGTGATTAACAGAACCCAGTAGTCAACCAAGATGCAGCGAATGACTGATCAAGCTATTTTTAGACTCCTACTACTGACACTGGCACTATAGGACCCTGTATGCCCCACTATAGGTGAGACGAAGTACATATATCATTGTACCTGACTCAAATCATCAAACCCAGTAGTGCGCTTTTAGACACTGACTCAATGTTGAATTGCGATTTCAGGGTGACCGACAGACTGAAATTCTGACGCACAAAACCTAAGATATGACAAACCCTAGCTGCCTCAAGCACTAGCTATAGCAGCGCAACATTCAGAATTTCATTATCACTGACATACAAACCCTGAACTACTCAATTCACTATATGTACTGAATCGCAATATTGTAGTACAATCAGAGATGTAATTTGAGACAGAGAGGAGGTCAAACAGAGTCAGTAGAAGTCAAAGTAGGTAGGTAGGGGAAATAGTTATGGCTGTTAGGCAGTGCGATTTTCAAGTTTTACTGTCTACATGCATATAGTTTCGATTTTCCCAGTCTAATCCCAACTATCAGACTCGCTACAGGGACTTGAGTAAGGAACACACTTACTTTAGGTCAAAACACTGGAAGAAGAAGCAGAACTGGCTATGGCTGCCATCTCGCCAGTTTCTTCAATTCACTGTTCCTGGTGCTCCCACGTTCCAAATCTCCTGAAACTTGGTGATACTATAGTTCTTTATATGGCGATTAATCCCCACTAATCAGATTCACTGTATCCGGTCCAGAATCTGAAACTCCACATACCCCCAGGTATCTCGCCACCAGCAGAGCCAACGCCTGGGCTAAAAATAGCCCCTCAGTGCCTCCCAGGCCACTGAGCACTGAATTGCCACCAATCTCTGTGTCATACCAACCGCCACACACTCCTCACCAACACCCTACTCAGCGCAGTACTGAAGATGCGATTCCAACATGAAACCCAACGTCAGAAGCTCTCAGGTAGTGATGGCTGCCTCGGTCCATCATCTCGCCACTGTTTGGGTCCGATCTGCTCCGATACCAACTGTTATGAACATGATTGTCCGTTGAAAATTTATCAACTCTCACTCACAGGAACTCCCGTACACGCCCATACATGCACAGAAGGAAGGGGAGAGGTAGTAGAGGTTCACACCGCCCAGAAAAGAAAACACAGCGGAAGACTCAGAGACGCGAAGTGACAGAATACACAATTCAGTGAATTCTCTCACATAAGTCCCAACAATCATTCATAGAAGACAACCTAGTGATCACAGCCAGAAATCAATGAAGAGACGACAACTCAAACATAGTATTACAACTGTTACATACTTCAATGAGTATGGGCAGAACCAAAGATCAACCAATATAGGATGAGCATTTATGCAGCGGAAGTCTGATAACGAACTGACTCACATAGACTGACTCACACCAACTGACTTACATGGCATCACTCCACACACATACAATCATGAGATGGTGGGGTCTGGGTCATTCATAGGCGATACCCAGATCCCGTACCCACATACACAGATAAAAGGTGGGAGGAGAGACGAAAGAGGTGGGAGGTAGATCACACAGATAGGTCACAAAGATAGAGTCTGATAGGTCTCCGAAATGGTAGTCCAGAATGTCATATAACAAGATCAAAATGTCGAGGACCAAMGGTCACCAATGTCGGAGATAACAGAGTCCAGATGTAACCGGTGTCCAACTGTGATGCAGCCGAGTATCAACCTCAACAATCTCCAAGTCTCCAATCAGGTAAGTACCACAGTCTCGTATCACCGAAATCCAACTCTGATCTCTGTCCAACTGGATAGTCTCCAATCTGAAGAAGAAGGAGAAGAAGAAGAAGGAGAAGAAGAAGAAGGAGGGAGAGGAGAGAGAGAGAGAGGGGACTGGCGAGGGAGAGGAGGAGAGACCCTCCCAGCTCCCGATACCTCAGGCGGTAATAACCGCCGTGCAAGCTCAGTCGCCCGCTGCTGCGCTATGATGCGCTCCTGCTTCAGCCCCTGCGCTAAGTTTAGCACATCAAACCGTGCACTAGCACTGACCATGCCGTGCCGGTAGAGTTCCGGTAGGCCGATCCCACTACTGAGGCAGATACCGGTACTTATACCGGTGGGCAATGGTCTGGCCTCAATGCTGCGAGGCCAGGCCAGACCCTGAACCGTCCAGATGGACGGTTCAGCCTCAATCGGCGGGCGGCAGCTTCAAGAGCGCCGCCAGGCCCAAACGAAGTGTCGTTTGGGCCTACCCGATGGGTGATAGTCCAAAATCAGGCCTTTAGGGCCTGTAAACCCCAAAGGTCGGGCCTTTAGGCCCTGGTGTGTCCCTCCGGCCCTAAGTCGGGTCCGGTAGCACCTGTGTGAGTCGAAGATGTAACAGTCAGGCCTTTGACCAGAAGTGACGGCCTAGAGCCCACAGCTTATGCAGATTTGAGCCGAGTAATTGCAATTTAAAAAGGGCAAACTCTGCAAAGAATGTCGGTGGAGCACGAGCCTTAGGTTTGCTTTGACGTTCTTGAAATGGTTTTCACCTTTTGCAGTCACAGATGCGGATCCCAGGGCTCGATTCCCAGACCTTACCTTACCTTACCTTACCTGTGTACAGTATCAAGTTGACCCTGTGTGTCTTGAACCCGTGACCTGTGTGTTAGTAGTCGAAAGTTGTCTGTCGTAGGTCTGAGTAGTTGTCGGGTCTTGAACCTTAGACCTGTTGTTACATGCTGCGCCTGCACACGAGGGCCATTTTCCAGGCCCTGCGTCCTTCAGGCTAAAAGCCTGAAATTCAGGGTTAAAGCCTGAAAACCAGGGCCTACAGGCCCCATGACTGTTCAGCCCGAAAGCCTGAAAACAGGGGCCTACAGTCCCTGTGTCGTTTCAGACTAAAAATGGCAATAAAACGAAGGGCCATTTTCGGTCGTTCATCAGAACGACCGGCCCTGAAACTCAGGCACCGAACCGGGGGTTCGGGAACAGGCTATTCTTAGCCTGTTCCCACGCCAGCCTCAGCACATGCTGCAGTGCCAGCCCCTGGCACACTTCGGCATTGGCAAGAGCAGCCTCCTCGGCCTGACTCGCCCTTCAGGCAGTCAGGAGGCAGGCCGAGGTAGTACATAGGGACTTCCCATGCACTTCACGGGCAGGTAGGAGGCAGTAGTCTTCAGGATTCGGCCGCAGCACTCTGGAGGGAGCGCTGCAGGGAGTAGTAGTAGCGCTGGGCGCAGTAGGTAGCTGTAGTCTCCAGCGCTGGGCGCCATAGCTAGGATAGAACTAGAGAGAGAGAGAGATTGGGCGGAGGCCTTGGGTACCTACCTGCAGCGCCGTTGCTCCAGCTTCGTCTTCGAGGTACCTGCAGCACAGCGCCAACATCACAGGTTAGTATCTGGCTCGTAACAGAGAGAGAGAGTTCTTCTTCTTCCTCTTCTCAGTCCACCATCTCCTTCTCCCCCTCTCATCATCTGACTTCACTGCATCTGCAGACTACGAGAGAAGAGAGAAAGAGCTTGGTGACATCATATCCAGACTCGACTTTTTGGACTTCAGACATTGCAACGAGGGATTATTTGGGACTTGTGACAAAGACTTGGTGTTGACGACATTCCCATCTCTCTCCCTCCTTTCATCTGATTCCCTCCTCTTCATCTGTGTATGTCTGGACCTGGCGCTTTCTTCCTGTGTACAGCGCCAGGCTCCTTCACACCTGGTGATGGATACGATGTATGTTCGGTCTGCGTTCAAACATTGATTGGGTTAGTCATTAGCATTCTAGCATTCTGCTTCGCTATCTTTCACTACGTGAATGAGGTCAGTCCCGTTCAGGCCAGGACTTGTATCTAAGTCTTCCACTGCGCTATTCAGCACCCTTTTGTATGTATGAGAATGCACATTGCTGGTCAAGACTCTACTTGCACTGCATTGTCCTTTTAGTCCTTTTCATCACATTGCGGATCCTCGGTTTCCATGTACATCGCCCAACTGGGCATGTAACACCTGTCGAAGTAGGGGTCATACCTGCATAGGGGTCATAGCTGTTGTAGTTCTGAAAGGTCAAGGTCGTAGCTGCTACAGTCCTGAAAGGCCAAGTCCGCAAACTTCCAGAAGGTCCAGAAGTGGCCTTTCAAGTTTCTCCTCACGTTATACACTGCAGACCAGAGGCAATTGGGCAAGTGGTGAGTCCAACTTCGCTTAGTCAGCGGTACCCAGTCCCAGTCTCACTTTGTACAGTCAGCAAGTACCATGAGGGACTGTGTGCACCATGGGGCCGGTGGAAAAGGGCAGACCAGCGACTTACAGAAGTATAAATCAAGAGGCAGCATCCAGCCATTCATTCATTCCTGCTTGAGCCATGCGGAAGCGCTGCCCTGGCATCTTGTGTGAGGTGGTCTGCAGTTTGCCCGAAGTTGAAGTGGGCCGAGGTGGAGATTAGCGCCGCCATAGCTGCTTGTAGATAGTAGTAGTTGGCGGCCATAGCTGCCATAGCTAGCGATAGGTGTCTGTGAGAGTGAGTGGGTGTGTGTGTGTTACAGAGTGTATGTGCGTGGGATATCCAGGGAGATCCAAAGTCGAGTGCGTGTGAACAGTTGGGTGAACACAATATTGGACAGAGGATGTGTGGGCGCTCAGGCGCCATAGCAAGTTGGAAGCGAGTTTGTAATTGAACTGTGTTCTCGGCTTGACTATCTCTGAGCTTTGTGTGGGCGCACAGCGCCAGTGTGAATTGCCATCTGTTTGCATGTATGCGAAGTGAAGAAGAAAACGAGTCTGGTTGCATTGGTATCAGAGCTGGTTTCCGCTATTCCATGAGCCTTCATCGCTCAGCGGTGCGCTGAAGTTGGGCGCCACAGTTGAAGCCGCGCCATCAAGAAAGGAGGTCCGCCATAGCTGCGCTGCGGAGAAAGTCAACACGCACCTGCAAAGAAACACGATGAAGAGAGAGAGAGAGAGAGAGAGAGAGAGAGAGAGAGAGAGAGAGAGAGAGAGAGAGAGAGAGAGAGAGAGAGAGAGAGAGAGAGAGA